CCAAATGCAATTTCAGTATTAAATGTATAACCTGTAATGTGGGGGATGGAAGATGAACCATGAATATATCAACCTGCAGTTCTCTGACTTTGGCAGCAGTGGCAGAACGCTGATAGAAATTTTGATTGAAACTTTTTTTTTTTAAGTAACTGCCCAGACTTGAATGTAACTAAATTGAAAGTACTAAAAAACACAGAAAAGTCAGGTCGTTGCTTGTTCCTGTAGCTACCTTTCGTGTGTGTGTGTGTGTGTGTGTGTGTGTGTGTGTGTGTGTGTGTGTGTGTGTGTGTGTGTGTGTGTGTGTGTGTGTGTGTGTGTGTGTGTGTGTGTGTGTAATTTGCATCAGACACGTGTATTTTTCATTCAAGTCCACAGTATCCGTAGCATAAATTTAACAGCAAAAAACGCGATGTAGTAAGGCGCCCCGCACCACGGTTGTATTTCTGGTGGTATTTATCTTCTTATATGTAACGAACAGGCTCTTTCTACACTTTGCAAAGAGGAGAGAGAGGAGCTGTGAGGACAGCGACCGTGATTGCCCAACCTCTCTCCAGTGGCGGCCGGAGCTCGCATCCGGGCGGGCAGATGGAAGGTGGCGGAGGTGCGAGGTGGGGAGGGGGCGCATGCTCTCACGCTGCTGACACCCATAGTGCCGCCACAGACACCGTGGGCTCCCAGTCCACCGTCTCTTTATTCTCCTTGCTGGAAGGCGCCCGCGGCAGCAAGTACCTAATGCTCTGAAATCCCCCAACCTGTGTCCCAAAAGATCCCTGAGAGGAACCCCCACCGAGGTTTCATCACTTACCCAGGCGGCAAACACAGAGGAGCTGAAGGCAAGCGAGGAAGCGGGTTAGGATTAGCATCTCCAGACGGTCCGGGGGGCCCGGCCACGCGGCTCCTCAGCTTCTCGGGGTGCAGAGGGAGAGGACGCGAGAAGGAAATATTTTCTTCTCCAGTGTACAGACTGGTGTGAGTGTGTGTGTGTATGTGTGTGTGTGTGTGTGTGTGTGTGAGAGAGAGAGAGAGAAAGAGAGAGAGAGAGAGAGAGAGAGAGAGA